CCCCAAAACCCCAAAACCCCAAAACCCCAAAACCCCAAAACCCCGTGTATTAAGGCCTGAATTGTAAATTTATGCTATTTTAGAGATTGTTTGGGTATAAAATTTAGTTATCACCATCAAAATTTTAAACAAGACGTCTCCTTCAGTTCTGGATAATGTCTCCTTGGTCCTCCTCTTCGGAGGATTCATGATCGTCAGAGACAATAAACACTTGGGTACCCTTCTCCATGAATCGGACGGAGTATTGCTCAGGTGGTTGACAAGAGAAATCATTATCTCCTTCATTAAGGTTGTTGAAGGCTACAATTTGTTTTCCTAGCCTCTCTAATTTCTTCTTTCTGATATACTTCTGCAGGTAATCTATCAGTCCAACCAAGTAAATGAAGTTTCTCTTTCTAGAATAAAGGACATATTTGTTTGAAGCTGCCAAAGAGGAAATAGCCTTTGTCAGCTCTGAATTATTTTTAAGTGACCGAACTTCCTCTTCAGAGTCAGAATCATTTGTTGTGTTATTGCTTCCTCTAAGAATTGGATCTACGTTAGGAGCCTGTAGGATTACTACAAATAAGGAATAATCCATAATATTTAGATCTGTTAGGAATTTCACATCTTTTCCGAGAGAACTATTCAGCATTTCTACTTCCATTTTGCAATCCATGTTGACAAAGAGAGCTTTGTGAAGTCTTGTAAAGTCCTCATCCTTGAGAAGTCCAAGCTTTTTGAGAGTGGAAGGATCAACTGTCTCTTCCTCTTCGTAATGAAGACTTGAGTAAGACACTCTTGAGTAAACTCTTGACATACCTTTCTTCATTTTATTCTTCCTTGTCTGAGAAGAAAAACGAGTATTAATAGGATCAGCAACTTCAGAGCAAGTACGTCCTTCCTTTCTGAATGTTTTCTTGGTTCCAGAATTGTCTTGAAGGACCTTCTTCATATCGAAAAATGTTTCGCTTTCTTCAGCATCAGGATCTTGCTTGCTCTCCTCTTTGGGTTCTGGGGCTTCATCTTCAGAACTCCTCTCATCTATGGGCTTGAGCTCGTTCTTCTTCAGGGCTGTTTTATAACCTCCAGAGGTTCGTGTGTTGGATTTTCCTTCCTCTAATCCTTCTTCTGGGAAATCAAAAAGTTCCTTTGCCCAAGGAAGCTGCTTCAGGAAGGTGTTCTTGATTGCTCGAATGGTGTTATTTGAGTTAATTTCTTTCCTATTCACTGTTGAAAATTTCATGTCATATTTGAATAGTATATGTTCGTCATCCAGAGGATCCAAATTCTCCATTAAAATATGATAGACCTTGTTTTTATTGTTCACTCTGATAGAGAAGCACCCATAAATCTTGGCAAGCAAGCTCCTAGGGTTATTGTTTAGATGGCTATGGTACTCTTTCACTAAGGAGAGGAAGAAATCACGCTCTTCTTCAGAGATCTCCTTGATTAAGAATCTCTTATCATGAGTTTTGATTAAGGGCTTGCCTCCTTTTGCACTAGTCTTTTCAAAACTTTTAAGCAAGATCTTCTTGTTGGCTCTAGGATTTAGGGATCCATACAGAGATTCCCGTGACAAAGAATTGATAGTTCGAATGTTTTGGAATAAAGCAGAAGCATATTCTGTGATTTCTCACTCAAGATCCGCTAATGGATTCTCTGTTTCAAGAAAATTGTTAAAATCACCCCTAATGTTATCTGGCAGCTCAGATAATTTGAAATATTGTCTGACTTTATCCATCGCTCAGGAAGGGTAGCTGTAGCTTTGGTTAGAGAGCCCGTCCACCATTTCTGCAAATGAAGAATCTACATAATATTTTTCATAAATGTTCTTTAAAATTAGAGTGATCGCACTGTAAGTCCCGATTAGATTATTAAAAGTTTCCCTGCTGGTGAGGTTAATGAACGAGTTATCTAGCTTATTCACACCTGATTTCATGCTAGTTACCTTCTTTGGGCTCTCAGTTAGTGTCTTTGAGTCTGAGTTTAGAGTATTTGGAGATTCAGAAGGCAAACCCTCAGGATTATTATGGTCTTTAAGGAAATAGTCATACTTATCATCTCATTTCCATTTTCTTTGCTTCATGTTCTTTAAGATTGATCTGAGAGAAAAACAGAACATTAGCCTGAAAATACTAAATATTGCTCCAGAGAGGCAGAACAAAGCTAGTGAGATTAGTCTGAACACATTTGAGACTCCACCGCTAGTAAAGCCTGATAAATAAGGAATGGCAAAGGACAAATAGTGGACAATTACAATAGGAAGAATAGATATAGTATACGTGCAAACACCAAGAATATGTATAAGGTACAGGTTCTTCTGGGAGTCCATCAGCTTCTCCTTCCTCCACTTGAGAATCAACACAATCGCTGAGAACAAGATGTAAGGCCATATGATAAATATCATGATCCCGTAAGAAATCTCATGTAGAGATCCCCTGGCGGTTCCACAGGAGTTAAAGATCGTAATACCAATATCGTCGAGAATAAGAGCAATCACCGCAACAGAAAGCCCGAAAATTATGGAATAAATATGATAATTCTTACTCTTCATTTCTCCAGGATTGAACATGACGGATGCCTTCAAGACTAGATGGGCAAGGCTGAAGTAATACGCAGATGCAGTGAATTTTACGAAAATCATTGACATCCCTTCCAACTGGCATAGAAGAGAATTCTCTTCAATATTTGAAATAGAAACAATGAGGTGGATACAAATTATAACTTTTAGTAGTAATAATCCAAGTGTAAGCATCACGTAGGGATTCTTACCTCCACCGGTCCTAGAGTTGCGCTGACCTCAACTATAAAGTATCAGGGTGGCTAAGGTCAGGACTAAACTCACAGAGCCTAGAATTACTGTCATCAGGTAAGCATCGTTCCAATGATTGGTCATCATCTTTAATAATATAAACTCCAATTAATTAGAAGAAATTAGGGGTTTTGGGGTTTTGGGGTTTTGGGGTTTTGGGG